AAAGAAAGAAAGAAAGAAAGAAAGAAAGAAAGAAAGAAAGAAAGAGAGAGAGAGAAAGAAAACCAAGGAGGAAAGATTAGGTCACAATCTGTCTATTCAAAAAAGTTTTTGTTCCAGCCTTGCCTCAAGGGCCTCCTTCTCCACTTTTAACTCTAAAATACCAATTTGGTGTTCATTAAACGAAACCCCAGTGCGACGGGGGCTGCTAAAATACCCTTTCCACCCTTCCCCTTCCCACTGTTTCGTTTTATTCAGTGGCTCACTTTTGTGCAGATGGCAAAGCGTGGTAGGAAATTTGAATCCTACCACCTGGGCAGGCTTGGGAAGGGAGGGGAGAAGCCCCCTCCCTCCAAGGACGCTGGAGGGAAAAGCGAAAAGAAGAAACATCCAGCCAGGCCATATTTCGAACTCTTACCTGCTGGGCTCAGTGAGAGGGAAAGAAGATCTGTTAAGGTCATTCACAGTTTGAGAGACGCCCCGGAGTGACCAGTCGAAAGGCAGAACATCTCTGCTTGGACTATTAATTGCTTATTAACTCAACGAACAAATGTACATAATGAAGAACCAGGCTGGGTGCCCTTTCAGTGGAGTGTGAAGTTCCTTTTTTTATGTCTGTGTTATGGTAGCTATTCATCTTTCTCTTTTTTATACACAAAAATAGTTGGGGACTTTCAAATCTTCTCCAACTGATGGTGCCACCTTCCTGAAGATAGCGGTGCCTTGGGAATGAGACTATGGCACTTGGGATCAAGGGCAAGATTCTGAAGCTTGTTCTACAGAACTTCAGTGGGCAGATCCAGGGGTGGGATTCAAATTTTTAACCACTGGTTTTGTGGGCGTGGCTTAAAATGGTAGGCGTGGCTTAGGTGGTAGTCATGGCTTGGTGGTCATGTTATTGGCTGGGCGTGGCCAACTCAGTATCACTCATATCGAGGCACACATCTCCTCACCTGACTTCTCATGACTGTGGGGATGCTGCAACAGTCGTAAGTGTGAAAAATGGTCATAAGTCACTTTTTTCAGTGCCATTGTAACTTTGAATGGTCACTCCACACAAGCAAAATGCCAGCAAAGGAGGGGAAAAAAACTCCAGAGAAGTTCCTGAGACAGGAAGTCTAGTCCTGCCAAGAATGTAATAAGGGTTAATGGAGAGGCAGTTTCTGTAAGCAACACCAGAATGTTTCTTTCCTGCTTTCCTTACAGGATTAGCCCAGTAATTTCCTCTAACAACCGGTTCTAGCGAATAGGTGCGAACTGGTAGAATCCCACCCCTGGGCAAATCCTCTTGGTGTCAGCCTTGGAAGCCACATTGTACTTGGAAGTTTCGAGGCTGCCACATTTGATAATAACAGATAATCAGAGTTGGAAGGTACCTTATAGGTCATCTAGTCCACCCCCCCACCAAAGCAGGAGACCCTACACCATTTCTGACAAAGGGCAGTCCAATCTCTTCTTGAAGGTCTCAAGTGTTGGCACTCCCACAACTTCCGAGGGCAACTTCTGTTCCATTGGTTGATTGTTCTCACTGTCAGAAAGTTTCTCCTTATTTCTAGTTTGAATCCCTCCTTGATCAGTTTCCATCCATTGTTCCTTGTCTGGCCTTCGGGTACTTTAGAAAATAGTTTGACCCCTTCCTCCTCTCTGTGGCAGCCCCTCAAATATTGGAAGACTGCTATCCTGTCTCCCCTAGTCCTTCTCTTCACTAGACTCGTCATGCACGGTTTCTGTAACCGATCTTCATATGTTTTAGCCTCCAGTCCCCTTATCATCTTGGTTGCTCTTCTCTGCACTTTTTCTAGAGTCTCAACATCTTTTTTATAGTGTGGTGATCAAAACTGGATGCAGTACTCTAGGTGTGGCCTTACTAAGGCTTTATAGAGTGGTATTAGTATCCCTCTGTTAATGCACCTTAGGATTGCATTGGCTTTTTTGGTTGCTGCCGTACACTGCTGCACATTTAGTGCCTGGGAATTTGGGAGGGGAGTTTTCTTAGTGAGTAGAAGATTAGACTCAACAACGTTCTTTCTTAAAAGTCAAAGACAAGTTACCCTACAGCTGGAGAGGAGTGTCTGAAAGAATGGCTCCAGTTGGGACAAAGTTTTGATTGGGCCAATCAAACCAGTTTTGGTCACCACACTATCAAGAAAAGATGTTGAGGCTCTAGAAAAAGTGCAGAGAAGAGCAACCAGGATGATGAGGGGACTGGAGGCTGAAACGTATGAAGAACAGTTGCAGGAGCTGGGCATGTCTAGTCTAGTGAAGAGGAGGACCAGGGAAGACAGGATAGCAGTTTCCCAATATTTGAGGGGCTGCTACAGAGAGGAGAAGGGGGTCAAGCTATTTTCCAAAGCACCTGAAGGCCAGGCAAGGAATAATGGATGGAAACTGAACCTGGAAATAAGGAGAAACTTTCTGACAGTGAGAACAATCAACCAGTGGAACAGCTTGCATTTGGAAGTTGTGGTAGCTTCATCATTGGAGGCTTTCAAGAAGAGATTGGACTGCCATTTGTCAGAAATGGTGTAGGCTCTCCTGCTTAGGCAGGGGTGGGGTTTGGAGTAGATGACCTACAAGGTCCCTTTCAACTCTGATTATCTGTAAGCCATGTGATGGACTGATGGGTGCAGGGGATGGATCTTTGAATTTCTCTTTTGGGAAGGGCTTTCCCAGGTGTGCCAATATGACTTCTCTAATAAATTCTTACTTGGGTGAACTTTGTTTCTGAGTGCTGAATGAGAAGGAGAGTTTGGTTGGAACGCTGACACTTGGAGGAGAAAGCCAAGGCAGTTGAGATGATTGGGATGTGAAGGGTTTTCTGTATCATTTGTCCAGAGCCATTTGTCTTTCGCGCCCAACCCCTGGAGAAGCTTCAGTCAGCAAGCTGTAGGTTGCCACATTGACCGTAGGCACATGGCAAACACCTGCAGTGTTTTCCTCTTAATGTGCAATTTTCTTAAATTATAGCAGCACCGTTATAGATCACCCTGCATTTTTGAATGACAGGACAGGCAAATGTGTTCAGCTTCGTGTTAGCCAGCAGCCCCCAACACTGGTACATCCAAGAAAATGAATGAATGCATTCTAGAAAACAGTTTCCATAGCAGAATGATAGTGAGATAGAGCTTGCCCCAAAGAGGGAGGCACAGCTGCAAGGATACTGTAAGGAAGGGAAGAGAGGAGGAAAAAAGGAGTCAGATGTGCGTGCATGGAATAGTTCTCAAGAAGTAAATATCTCTGGTATATTTTTTATCCTGCCATTTGCTGGTTGTAATTACTTTTGGCATTTTAAATGGCTCTGCAGAGTGAGAGTTTTAAATGTGGGCATGGGCTGGATTGATTCTCATAAGGGTTATATACAATTACTTTATTTGTTTGTTTTTATTTATTTCAACTTCAGTACTGTTGAAGTTCAGTGATAATGGGAAATCCCTTGTTGATTTTTTGCAAGGAAGAGGAAAAAAATGAAGTTATGATCTATGGATTTGATTAGAATTAATAGAACATAGAAACATATAAACTCAGAAAATGAGGTCGACTTATAACTGTGGTAAATGAAAATCAGAAAGTCACTCTTTGTAACTTTTTTTTCTTGTCTGTCATTTCTGCACTTTTGTTTTCGCTCTTTTTTTCCTCTTTTGCCATTCTAAATATTAGTTCTTGTTCATTTTTATTATGTTTTTCAAATTTCTAATAAAGTTTATTTTTAAAAAATGACACAGGCATATGAAAAGCATGCAGTGATGGCATTGCAGGGCAGGAATGTTGCAACTTGTCCCAATTTTCTGGAGTCTCTTCTTCCTCCTCCCCTTCTCCCTCTCCTCCCTCCCCTTCCTTTCCTCCTCCTCCCCTCCCCCTCCCTCCTCCTCCAATTCTTCTTCTTGTTGTTGTTTCTTTCTATCTTCTTTTCTCCTCCTCCTCCTCCTCCTTCTTCTCCTTCTCCTTCTGTCTCCCGCTCTTCCCTCTCCCTCCTCCTCCTTCTCCTTCTCCTTCTTCATCCCCTTCTTTCCCCTCCTCCTCCTCCTTCTTCTTCATCTTCTTCCTTCCTTCTTCCTCCTTCCTCCTCTTTCCTTCTTCTGTTTCATCTAATATATTTGGCAGTGTGATAAAATGCCCCAAAGGTTTATGTGTCAGGGCTCCAACAAATCCACCCCCATTCAAATCATAAGTCTCTAGCCGCATCTCTTACAGTAAAAAAAAATGATTTATTAGGAGTGGCCATGCCGGCGTTACCTAGGTGCAGCTGACACTAAGACACATCATTCATTTTCCCCTTGACCCTGGTCTTCCCCCCACCCCCAGATGAATATTCTCCAATGGGAAACATCCATTGCCAAGAGTCATCAATCAGGGTCTCCAGTAATATTCTTGCGCGCCAACAGCTTTAGGCTGCCAAGGTGATTATCTGAGGCATTTAAGGAATGCACTGCTTTGCCCCACTCCCTTTCTGCTGACAACTAAAAAAATTTTAGTTGACATTACGTACATTGGATGGAAAATGGTGACGTAGCAAGCAGGAACTGATGGACTTCGGTCCATCAAGGAGAAAGGCCAAGAAAGGCTGGTGGTGACTAAAGTTGGTGCTCCCCGAAGTGAATCCATGTCGGTGAAATTCTGTGGACACGCCTGAAGGTTTCAGAGATGCAGGTCAGCCGACTTCTCCTTCCCTCCACTCCCGTGTTGGTGCAAACGTGTGCTTTTTTTTTTCCCCCTTCCTAGGCTGATGCCAAGATGGTCTGTGATGTGGTGAGCCGGATGGAAGACACGGAGCCCTTCTCTCCAGAGCTGCTTTCGGCAATGATGAGGCTGTGGTCTGACACTGGCCTCCAGGAGTGTTTCAATCGGTCCCGAGAATATCAGCTCAATGACTCTGCTCAATAGTGAGTTTTGGTCATCACTTAGAGGTCCTTTTAAACAAGGAGCAGCAACCAGGATTGTCTGCCAGCCTTACCTTCATTGTAAGGTTACTGTCAGGGCTCCGGTAGTTACCCCCGTTTAAATCATGAGATTCTAGCTGGATTTTAAAAGCTTAAAGATTTATTAGGACCAAACATGCTGGCACTGCCTGGGTGTAGCTGACACATAATTCATTGTCATCCTTGGCCCTGGTTTCCCCCCCACCTCCTGGGTGTATCATAATTCATATTCTCCAATGGGACACATCCATAGCCAAGAGTCATCAAAATCATGCTCTCCAGTTAGAATTTTGCATGGCAGAAATTTCAGTCACCTAGTTACTATCTTTGAAAACATTTATGGAATGCACTTTCGGTTTGCAAGCTGTTCCCTCCGCCCCACTTTCCTGCTGGCAACTCTAAAAGACCAGAGAAATATTTTATGAGTTGACAGTTACATTCAAATAGGGGTCTCCAAACTTAGCAACTTGAAGACTTATGGACTTCAACTCCCAGAATCCCCCGTGCCGGCTGAGGAGATTCTGGGAGTTGAAATCCATAAGTCTTCAAATTGCCAAGTTTGGAGACTGCTGCGTTAAAAGAATCTTGCACTCTTTTCAAAACTGCATCTCTTCCCCACCTTCCTCCCTGCCTTTATGGGTCAAGACACTAAGGGAGGGTCTGATTGTGATTTGTGCACTGGGCAACCTTCGTATATTTATATCAGTCACAGCCTGCTACCATCACATGTTTACCATTTGCAAACTTCGTAGTTAACACCCGACAAGCAAGTTCACTGGGGAAACCAACAAAGAAGGTTGCAAGTCACCAGTATGTGATGCCTTCCTTAACAACCGCACTACTTCAGAATGAATTTTCCAGTCCCTATTGGGGTCATAAGTCGAGCTCACCTTAAGGTTCATGTTTCTGGGATAATGGATACAATCATGTGCGTTTAGCAAGCAGTCATTGTACCTAGACCAGGGGTGTCAAACTCAAGGCTCGGGGGCCGAATCCAGTTCATGGGATGCTTAGATTTGGCCCACAATGCCAGCCTTAAAATAGCAAACGACCAGCCTGCAGTGCCTCTGACCGCAAAAACAGGCTCCATTTCCACTGGCAGAGGGCTAGCAAAACAAACTATAAAGAAAACAAAAGGAGAAGTGTTTCCTCTTTTTCATTTGAGCATGCAAGAAGGGACAGGAGAGGAGAAAGGGAAAGAGGAAAGACAAAGATAGGAAGAGAGCAAGAAAGGAAAAAGAAGGAAAGGAGAAGGAAGAGGGAACAAAAAAGAAGGAAGGAAGGAAGGAAGGAAGGAAGGAAGGAAGGAAGGAAGGAAGGAAGGAAGGAAGGAAGGAAGGAGATGAGACTAAGGGAGGGTCTCAGGGAAATCCTGCCTTAGCACTTGGTCACGACAGGTGCCCCCAACACGAGTCCCACCATGGCCATGCCCCACCCACCCCCCGGTATGCCATGCCCCCCTGCCCTCTGAGGTCAAACACAGCCCTCAATGAAATTGAGTTTGACCTAGACAGTTGTGCGCACAAAATAATAGGGAGGAACAGTAAATTTTGCCAAGTATAAATCTAGTCTCAGTCACAAAGCAATTTTTTAAAACAATTTTATTAAGTTTATCAGACACTAGTTATAAGTTAAAACACAAGCAAAAATTTCAATTGGGAGAAGAAAAAGGGAAGAGAAAACAGTAGAGGGGAAAGGGGAAAAAAGAAAGGAAAGCATTAATTTCTGACTATTTTTAGAGGAGTAGAATAAGATAGAATAAGTAGAGTTAGATATTACAGCCTCAACTTTTTACTTTTATCGACTTACTATGTACTAGCCATTTTTACAACGATAATTGTCTGTCGAGATTCTCAGCCATCCAGGAAAAAAAGGTGCTTTTTTTCTGGAGGCAACTGGACTTTCTTGTTTCTTTGAAGATGTTTCGCTTCTCATCCAAGAAGCTTCTTCAGCTCTGACGGGATGGTGAGGAAGGGAAGGATTTATACTCCTTGCAGACAGCTGGTCATTTGCATCCTTTTAGAGGGTCATTGAGGCCACTTGGAGGTTTATCTGTGTCCTCAGGGTCACCTGAGTAATGCAAATGGTTCCTGTAGTCTGAAATTTTTTCCTCTGGAAATCCGTTCCTACTCCCACACCATTATTCCAAGGGCATCCATCCAAAATTGCATAGCTAAGAGTCTGTAGAGATTCTCAGTCATCCAGGTCATGGTTTTCCCGAAAGGAGACAAGATCCACCAGAGGCCAAGGTCATGGAGGGGATAGCGTTGCATCGTTGAGATCAAGCTTCTCCTTTTTCAACCTCGTGCTACTTACGGGGGAAGAAGGCAGAGCTCGCATGATGCTCCTTTTGTGGTTTTTGACCCTTCTGCC